AAACTTCGAGATGGGAGTGGGAGGTCCCTCCATTATGACTATTACCCTCCTTTAAACCTATAAGATAGTCCAAATTCACACTATCAGGTGTTAATCCCCAAATGGCCAAATTTGCCATTTGTCACTGATTGCAAGTACTCCAAAGAGCAAAGCAGTGCTGGGGGATACGCAGCCTCAGGTTGCCCACCTATATCTATTATAACAGCTAGAGAAGCACAAGGATCAGAAGATACCTTGTTTCCCCAAAAATAAGACGTACCCCGAAAATAATTACTAGCTTGATTTTTTGGGGTGGGCCTAGTATAACTCCAACCCCTGCCCCATCTGCCTTGCCTCTTGGCAGCGACACAGCGGGGTGGGCTATGCGGCTTCCTGCCATGAGCGGCCAAGAGCGGCCACAGAAGCAGGTCAGCAGCCGCACGGGCTCCTGCTGGACAATGCTTTTGGTGCCGACATCGCGAGGCGAGGCAGGTGTCAGGAAAAAAATAAGACATCCCATGAAAGTAAGACCTACTGCCTCTTTTGGAGGCAAAAAAAATATAAGACCAGGTCTTATTTCTGGGGAAACACGGTAGGAATTCTTCCGCCCCATAGGTCACTATCTAATGAATCTCCTGCTTAGCTAAGTTACATTTTTAAAGTTATTTATAATTTTTAAGCTAAATGAGGGCAAAACTAGAGAAAAATGGAGAATTAGTAGTATTGTGATAACCCAGGGCCCCGAACGGAGGCAAAGCAATCAGCTGGCCAGAGCAATAGTCTTTTTAATCACTGCCAATGTTCGCCCAACAGCCCCCACATATGCTGGCACGAGTTTAAACAAAACAGCCAGGGAAGTTTACACTGTTCTTAAAGCAAGACAGATAACAAGCAAACGTATAATCCTTTTAACTCCCAGCTTGCCTGCGAACTGCAAACTGCAGACTGCAAGGAGAGATCAGCAGGAAGAAAACTGGTCCAGAATACAAAGTGTCCAGGTTACAAGAGCACACTATCTCAAGATTTCACATTTGTTCCCGGCAAATGCCCCACCCCACAGTGTCTCCTTAAATCCTACTTCCCAGGTGTGCCTTCTGGAGTGGGGCAGGATGATCTCCTCCCGAGCAAGTGAGCCTGCCTCCGTTGTTCCCTCCTCCTCTCTGCTCTCCTTGCTCTAGGATCAGGTGGGGAGGGGCCTTGCTCCTCGCCTGAACTCTGCCTTCCCTGTTCCAAACCTGAAGGGCCCTGGCCTGCCTCAGCCTGCTCCTCCCCACAGTTCTCCGAAGCCACAGACACCCCCTCCTGGGCCTCAACAGGGAACTCCATGTCTTCCTCAGAGTCAGGCTCGAATGGAGGCATGACAAGTATGTTGAAAAAACATGCAGCCTGTACCTTTTTTCAATCATGCTTTAATACCTTTCACATGTATGTTCCATACATATATTGCTAAAAAGATGAGATTTCAGAGTGATAGCAAAGCTTAACAATAAAGGCGTGGAGCTGAGATTGTCAGAAATGCTTAGTCAGGCTGCAGTAAGCAAATATGTCTTTAGAATACTATAAATGTGGAATATTACTGAAGTCATATGAAAGTATCCATACTTCTTTAATATGTCCCCATCCAAATATTTTGGCAGGATAACTGAATTTCCTGCTAGATGATTTATTGAATAGGAGATGCCTATTATATCTCACCTCCTGCAAGAAAAGCTACAAGACATTAGATAAAGAGCAGATAACATGTCACACCATTGTTATTGACGTCCAACTTGCTTCCATTTTGGGAATTCCATTCAAATTATTCTTGATTCCAGTTTCCATTTTATTGTAATTCGCTGAAGGAGAGGAGCAAACAAGAAATCAGTTAAATTGTTGCATATTTATTCATTTATTAAATTTATCTGTTGCCTATCTCATTTCGGAGTGGCTCTGGGTGGCCAATGCTGACCCTTTGAAAGAAGCATGAAGCTACTTCTGTGTATCCCCTTCTTCCATCTGCTTAAATATTTCAAGAGAGACAAAGGGGACCCATGTTTAATCAGCCACATCAGCTCACTCAGCCTCATGAAAACCAAGTGGCAGTAGTAGGAAATCACGCTAACAAATTCCTTAATTACACCCATTTTCATTCTTCTTTTTGCAAATACTTTTTTTTTGCAAGAAGGCTATAAAGGAACAAGCAAATGTCCCACAGAAATGTATTACTCACCTGTGGAAAAAACACCGTTTTGCATTCTTGGGCTTGGTACGATAACAACATCCTCTACTTAAACATTCTTCCTCTAATATTCCAGGATATCCACAATCAATTCTTTTGCTTGGAGGTATGTTGCAATTCATGCCTAAGAAAAGTATAGAATTCAAGTCTATAGAAATGGTTTAATTTGTATTTAGTACAAAGTGATGTGGAACTACAAGTTTTTAAAAAAGTATGGGCAGGCAGTCATACCACTAAAATATTTCTTTGATTTCCAGGTGAAAATTCTTCATAGGTGTATTGCAGAACTTGTGCGTCCCAAGTCTAGAGCACTCACCTCAAACCTGATGCCACAACTGAATTGACATACCTCAAGGGCATCAAGTTGGAGAAGGAATACTTAGACTTAAATTTCAAATTAAACAATAATACAGCTAATGCCACCAAATTCTAATGTTCGGTCTTATCACTCTTAACTTTTACCTAATTAAGCAAAAAAAATCTATATCTAAGACATTTAATTGACTGATTTGACTTTTCTTCTTGAAACCTCAATGTTGGATGTAAAATAGATGTCAGCATCTGGTTTGCTGCTTCCAGAGCCTATCCAGAGTGGGTGAAGTCAAAAGTTTAGTTTTTCACTGCTATAAGAAGCTTAAAGCACAAATTTCACACAAACACACTAAAAAAGGACCACACCACCCTCTATACATGTTTGGAGTTGGTCCTCAACATCTGCTGCGTGAGACAGCTGTCACTCAAATGAAGTCATGCTCTTCTACCTTTGAACTCCAAAGGAACTAATTCATGGCCTTCATGAATGCTGAAATAACTAGTCAGCGATTAGGATGCTCAGTGGGCCAAACGCTGAGTCCTCTGAATTCCAGAAGTACCAATGTCACATGGGCAAATGTGATATAACTACCCTGTTTTCTTATTCTTATATAAAGAATGACATTCAATCCTGTCACTACTGCTTTCCAGGCCTATTTTTTCTCCGACTGAAAGTAATGAAATGTTCATATAGGCATATGGCTTTCAAATGCTATGGAAGAAGAACGTAATTGCAGAATGAACTATTGGGGTCACCTTAATAGTCTAAAAGTTATAAAAACATTTAGAATTGGTGGATGGATGGCTTATGTGGTGATCTAGAGCTGTTCTATGGCCCAGGGGTTAAAATACTGGTTCAAGATCTGAGCATCATGCAATGGGTGAGCTCCCATCCTTGCTCTAGCTCCTACCAATCTAGCCATTTGAAAGCATGTAAAGGCAAGCAGATAAATAGATACCACTTCAGTGGAGAGGTAGCAGCGCTCTGTGATGTCATGCTGGCCACGTGACCAGAGAAACATCTTCGGACAGCATTGGCTCATGGGCCCTTGAAACAGAGATGAGCACCGCCCCCTAGAGTCAGTAACGACTAGTGGGGTAAAATCTGCAAGGACTCCTTTACCTTCATGTTGTGGTCTACTTGGTGGTGATCTAGGTCTCATGGGTATTCTAGCATCTGTCGGAGAGCTGAATCCCAATATCAGAGCAACGGTCAGGAACCAGAGCAATTTGCAGTTCATTTTGAATGCCAGTCTTCACCAAGGGTCAGATTTATTGAAGAATGCAAGAGTATTGATCTCTCTGTGTGTGATTTGATTCCTGCAAAGAAAGTTGCAAAGTATTCAAACACTTTTTTACTGCTGGAACTCCAGGGGGAGAGAAGTAGTCTAACGCCCAAGTGCTTACTCTCAACAACACCTTAAACACCTCAGAGTTAAAAGATTCCTGTATGTGTCCTCTAAATATACAAAGGAAACCATATGAAAATGTGCATCTTCTAAATAGTCTTTGGGGTAATATGGAAGGTGTGGTACATAGTGTGATTGCAATGAAAGAAAAGAGAGGGAGGGAGGGAGGGAAGAGCTGAGGGAGGGCATACGAACATTATGGTGTATCTTCTGTGATTTAAAAACTAAACATAGTAATTGCAGATAAGAATTTGCCAAGTAAATTTTGATTCAAGATCAGCTGTTTTAATGAAGTATTAATTTTGCAATGCTTCACACTTTCCTAACTGTAACCCTTGTAAGATTTCTATTAAAAAACTCAGTTACATTATTCTCTGTATGGTTGATGGAGGAACTAAGAAAGACATGCCCATCAGTGCAGAGATCGGAGTTAAACACTGGACCTCCTAATTCACCAAGGAGAAGAAGATGAACAAGAAGAAGAACATAGGATGACTGCATAAGCCCCCAGCGCAAACCAATTTCTGAGTTATACCCAGGAAAATTACAAGCACAAAAATACTGAATTTATATTCTTTTGATTTAATCCAGCAAGGCCAAAGAATAAAGAAAGAAAAGCAAATTTTTCTTGGCACTTGCGCTTTCTTAATGGCAAAAAACCCCAAACCTGGCAATAGAATAAAGTTCACAATTATATAGTCTTTTAGGAATTCAAGACAAAAATATATCTGAAAAGAAGAACCAATTTGTGTTACAAATATATAAAAATTATGCCACACATAGATTAAATATTTGAACAACAACATCAGGTCCTCACAGATGTCATAGCATATTTAAGATAGACCTATTTCTTGATATAAAACCGATCCAATTGGATTAAACTGATTCTGTCAATGCAAATCAAATATCTTAGAAAATGCTCACCTAATTCATTGTTGGATTGTATATAACTTACCTCTCTTGATGTGAGTGTTCAGAAATCCAGGGAGAGCTCCACACCACAGAATGAAGGTAGACATGCTGATTTATATAGTTCAGAAAGTCCTCCTTCTTCCTGTTCTAATTGCACTAATTGGCCAAATAAAGAGAGACATAGATTATCAAAAAGAGAACTGTTATATCCTGGGCCTGCTGAATTGCTCAGCAGGCTCAGGAAAGCTGCATAGAGTCCCAGGCAGACCATGTGGTTGCCCGGGACCAGACAGGCTGTTGCCAGCCTTGTGCGCATGCGCAAGGCACGAAACCAGCCTTGCATTGATTGGTTGACACTGTCCTTGCAAGGAGACTATAAAAGGCCTGCGCGCCATTTTGTTACTGTTCTGTTCTGTTGCAGTTCATTTGCAGTTTGCTTTTGTGTTACTCGCTTCCTCTAAATGCCTTTGACTCGCGAACAGAACATTGGTGACGAAGGTGGGATTGCTGCAAGCAAGAACAGAAGAAGAAAATAGGACTCACCAAGGAAGTCCTGAAGCCCGGGGAAAGTTCGGCGTCTGGAAATTGTGATTCTGCCTGCCAGTACGAAATCACTGGAGGTGAGCTTGGCAGTAGGAACCCCTTGCCAAAAGGCTTGCAGCAAAGGCGTTGACGAAGTTACAGACTGCTACGATGTCAAAGATAGGTCGGTTGTCAGAATTCGATACTTCTCACCCAGAATGCTGGAACTCTTATGTGGCATGGATGGAGAACTACTTTAGAGTAAATCAGATTAGAGAAAATGGCCTCAAAGCAGCTAACTTGCTGTGTGTCTGTGGGCAGGACACTTTTGACATAGCGGAAAATCTGGTTGCCCCAGCACCTCTGGAGTCAGTGTCCTATGCTGATTTGAAGAAGATGCTGAGAGAACACTTCGAACCTAAACTTTCAGTGATTGTTTGGCGACACGCGTTCAAGCTGAGGGACCAGAGGCCTGGTGAGTCTGATGCAGACTTTATTGCTGCCTCAAGACAAGCCGCTAGACCATGTGAGTTCAAGGACCTGGAAGAGAGGCTCCAGGATCGGTTAGTTTGTGGCCTGAGAAGTTGCGAGCTGCAGCAGAAGATCTTCGCCAAAGAAGTTGTCTCGTTCCAAGATGTCTTGAGAGAGGTTGCAGTTGAAGAAGCAGTGGGTGGTGCTGTGAAGGCCTTGCGGCTCGCCAGAAATCCTCCAGCCACAGTCACCATGAATCAAGAGGTCGCTCGAGAAGATTCAGAACAAGTTTCTGAAGAGGAGGTGGATAGGCTGCACCAGACAGAGGAGAAGAAGTTTCAGGAGCGCAGAGACAAGGCCCCAGCATCCCCTTGGTGTTTCGGGTGTGGAGAACACCACAAGCACTCTGACTGCAGATTCCGCTCCGCCATTTGCCGGGCATGTGGCAGGCAAGGCCACATTGCCTCCATCTATTTGGTTCGCCAGAAGGTCCGGTCTCAGGAAGAATTGCTTCAGAAAGGTACCAGGGTCCCCAGCCAACATAGGGTGGGTTTCTGAGCGTTGCGCAGGAGCATTTTCAGGACAGAAATTCATAGGCCACTTAAGAAAAAGCTTCATATTGATGTGAAGTTGCAAGGGGTTCCCTTGTCGATGGAGTTGGACTCAGAGTCCGCTCTATCGATCATTTTTTTGACACCTTTAAAAGGATTTGCAGCAGAAGTGGCCTACGAGTCAAACTCAGGTCATCGAATTTAATTCTCACTGACTTCCAGAATTCCAGAGTTAGCGTAAGGGGGGACGCCACGCTCAAGGTGCAGCGTAGGACTTTTGAAGACCTGCTAGATGTGGTGGTAGTTGGGGGTGATTGCACGAGTCTCATTGGACTCGATTGGTTCGAGGCCCTTGGGATTCAAGTGACTGGACTGCACAGTCTGAAAATGTCAGGCCTTGCAGAAGTCTGCAAGGAGTTTGCTGATGTGTTCTGTTCAGAGCTTGGATCATACAAGGGGCCTCCCATCGCCTTATGCTTAGACCCAGCTATCACACCCATCCGGATCAAACCTAGAAGGGTGCCTTTTGCCCTCAAAAGCAAAATTGATGCACAGCTGGACAAGCTGCTCCAGCAGGGCATCTTAGAACCTGTGGACTCTAGTCCTTGGGAAACCCCCATAGTAATGCCACTGAAGACCAATGGAGAAGTCCGAATCTGTACGGACTATAAATGTACACTTAACAAAGCACTGCAACAGCATGCATATCCAGTGCCTGTGGTTAGCCACATTCTGGCCTCCCTCAAGGGGGTGTGTGTGCCTCTTTGCAAAGCTTGATTTGGCACAGGCCTACCAACAGTTACCTGTTGATGAGGCAACAGCTGAGGCTCAGACAATTGTGACGCACCGGGGAGCCTTTAAAGTGAAAAGATTGCAGTTTGGGGTTAACGTGGCCCCTGGCATCTTCCAAAGTGTAATGGAGCGAACGCTCCGTGGTATTCCTGGGGTCTGCTCCTACTTCGATGACGTCCTCATTGCTGGGGAGTCATCTGTAAATTTAGCTGAAAGGCTGAGAGCTGTCTTGCTGGGTTTCCGCCAAGTGGGGCTGAAGCTGAAGCAAGATAAATGTAAGATTGGAGTCACCTCCACTGAATTTCTGGGGTTTCTTATTGATGCTGAAGGCATCCATCCTGCTGAATCCAAGCTTCAAGCAATTCAGCAGGCCCCAAGTCCCAACTCCAAAAGCGAACTTCAGGCTTTTCTGGGACTCTTAAACTTTTATCATGCATTCCTTCCCCACAAGGCTGCAGTGGCTGAGCCATTACACTGGCTCTTGGACAAACAGGCTCCATGGACTAAGGTCCATGAAAGGAGCTTTACAGAGGTCAAGGCCTTGCTCTCTTCAAATGTAGTTTTAGCACATTTCAATGAGCAATTGCCTGTGAGCATCGCATGTGATGCATCCCCTTATGGGGTTGGGCTGTGCTTAGTCATCTGAAAGCTGATGGGACACAAATCACTGTGGCCTACTATTCAAGGACTCTGTCATCTGCAGAACGTAATTACGCTCAGATTGACAGAGGAGCCTTGGCCATAGTGGCTGGCATAAAGAAATTTCATGATTTCTTATATGGCTGCCATTTTACAGTCTACACAGACCATCAACCTCTGCTGGGTTTGTTTACAACAAACAAACAAACCCCACACATAATCTCTCCTAGAATGCTGAGATGGTCAATTTTCCTGTCAGCATATGACTACACTTTGGTGCACAAACCTGGCAAAGAAATGGGCCATGCAGATGGCCTCAGCAGATTACCTCTACAGTAGATAGAGGCAGATCCTGCTCCTGCTCTTCACATTCTCTCCATTCAGGAATTGCCTGAATCTCCCCTCAATGCTAGGGACGTGGCTGCAGAAACTGCCACTAATCACACGCTCACACGCATGCTGACATGGGTGTTGTCAGGATAGCCTGACACGTGTCCTGATGCAGAATTCCAGAGCTTCTGGCAAAGGAAGCACAAGATTTCCACCTTCAAGGGTTGTCTGCTATGGGGTAGCAGGGTAGTGATCCCAGCCTCATTGAGGACTAGAGTCTTGTTCTCTCTGCATGAGGGACATCCGGGAATAGTCCGGATGAAAGCGCTTGCGCGCAGCCATCTCTGGTGGGCTGGGCTCAATAAAGAGATCGAGACCCAGGTTCATGGGTGCCAAGTGTGCCAACAGTCAAGGCCTGAAATGCCTCAGGCTCCTGTACATAGGTGGGAGGAGACACATGCCCTTTGGTCGAGGGTTCATATTGACTATGCTGGGCCCTTTCAGGGGCAATTCTTCCTTCTCCTCATGGACAGCCATTCCAAGTGGCTAGAGGTCGTTCCTGTCTCCTCCACTACTACTACTAGGACCATCCAGGTGCTTAGAGCAATCTTCGCCTCCCATGGGCTTCCAGACGTCCTTGTTTCCGACAACGGACCCCAATTCACTTCTTCTGAGTTTCAGGCTTTTCTACAGGCCAACTTGATCCAGCACGCTACTTCAGCACCGTTTCATCCAGCTTCCAACAGCCAGGCTGAGAAGATGGTGCACACTACCAAAGATGCTCTCAAGAGAATCACTCATGGCAGCTGGCATCACAGGTTAGCTGACTTTCTTCTTTGCCAACGCACCACACCTTGCACAGCCACAGGAAAGAGACCAGTTGAACTCCGCTGGGGTTGCCGCCTCATTACAAAACTGGACAGGTTGCACCCAGACCGGGTGGCTTCACAGGTGTCACAGCCGTGGGCACCTAGGAGACTACAGGTGGGCGATCCGGTCTGGACAAGGAACTATGGACCTGGACATCTCTGGGTCACAGCAGTGGTATGCAAGGTTTCTGGGCCACTGTCATATGAAGTGGCCTTGGATGATGGTCGTGTGATCCGATGTCACATTCACCAACTGCGCTGGAGGCTTCCCAGCAACACTTCCACTCATGGCTCTGCTCTCGGGGGGGGAGGACCACAATTACGATTGTGGACCACAGTGTCTCCGGCCAAGCGCTTCAGCTATTGCTCCAAAAGGGGGGGGTCAGCTGTCCTTACCAGAACGTGAGTTGACAAAGCACCTGTTGATGCTGTTTACTCATGAAATGACAGTTTAATCAGGAACAAGCTTCTGACATTAGCAAAGACCTTCAGCCTGAGGCTCTTTACAAATAAAGTTTACGCTGGGAGCTACTGCCTCCCAGCGTTATTTAAATATACTCCCAAGTTCACCCCACCCTCCACCAAGCGACACCACCACACCCCCGCCCTCCTACATCACACCCTCCTATTCCCCAACCAGCATCTTTCAGTTAATTGCCCCATTAGTCTCTCCGTCTGGAACCTTCCCGCCGATGACCTGTGCTTCTGCGGCAACGCCCTGTGCTCTCCGGGCTGCCGCCCCTCAGCTGATTGTCAATTACAGCTGCTCATCGGCTTGCTCGTCGGAGGCTTGCGGAGGCTTGCTGACTGCGACGCTGGTTCTCCCCCTCCTTGTGTGTCGAGCCCGGGAGGGCTTGACAGGCGCCCCCCCCAAGTATTCTCCTGGAAGTGGGTAAAACGCAGTTAGTTCGTTGTGGATGTCGGTCCACCTCC